GGTTTCACGATTTCATTTATGGAAGACCCATAACCTTGGACACGACCACCAACCCCTCATCGCTATTGCAAAAAAGAATGTAAGGGACATGCCCCCTCGCCTCTAGCGCTTTTTTCTCGGACTGATGAAGTATAACTACAAGTTTCAATTCGTTCCGGGCAAGCAGCTAGTACTTGCAGATGCGTTGTCACGCGTACCGGCCCCAAGAGACTCACAACCCGTGCCTGAGGAACATGATGCCGAATTGCATGCGGTCGAAACACTGTCACACCTGGTGAGCGACACCACAATGACCAAGCTCGCTACAGCGACAGCAGAGGACAAGCACAGGCCAAAAAAGACAGCAGCAGCGCCCCAAGAAGTCACAATGCTCAAAAGGCACCAGCCAAGTTGAAAAAAACACAAAGGAAGAATACAACTGTAGTGATGACACGACAGTTCTCACTCGCGTGCCCCGCGGCAACGCGTCCATGCTAGTGCGCATGCTCGGGGTTATCTCTTCAGTTCGAGAGAAGTGATAATAAAACACTTGGGTTCCGGACTCCGGTGTGGCTGGTCGCTCCTTCCCCGCGAGACATGGTGTCAGAAGTGGGGTCCTTCCCGAAGGAGCGACGCAGCGAGTGAGCCGTCGGCGTGGCACATCCTGCAACGCCCGCCATGGCGGACGAAGACGCTAAGCCTACGCAGTTCTGCGCTGCCGGCATCCAGCCGCCTCCGAAGTTCGACTTTTCGAACCCCGGCGAGTGGAAGGAATGGGTTTTCCTGTTCGACGACTACTGCTACGCTTCTGGGCTCTACCAGGCGCCGGGCGAAGTGCAAGTCAGGACACTGCTGTACGCCATGGGCTCCCGTGAGGCTCGTCAACTTCTAGACATGTTGGCCTTGACAAGCGACGACTGGTGCTCTCTTCAAGCGGTGAAGACGAAGCTCACCGACCACCTCATCCACCCGGTCAACAAAGTCTACGAAAGCGTGTGCTTCCACCGTCGCGTCCAGGCTGAAGGCGAGTCAGTAGACGACTTTTACACTGCACTACGTACGCTCGTCAAAAAGTGCAATTACGCCTCCGCGGAAGTCGAAGAACGCCTCGTCCGCGATAGATTCGTCGTCGGTCTTCTGGACTCTAAGCTGGTGGACAAGCATGTCACACGCCAAAGCTCACGCTCGAGGACGCGAGACTTCAGGCCCGTATTCACAAAGACGCCGTGAAGGCCCGGTCTGAAGTTTTCCAGAAGGAACCAAATCCTGCCATTGTGGTTTCCGAAGCAAAAGTCCGAAAACGTCTTCCGAAGTCACGACGGCATTCTGACTTGTCGGGGGAAGGCGCAAAGAGGACTCCCAAGCCTTGCTCAAGCGACGGACGCTGCAGGTTCTGCGGCAGGTCACCTCACCCCCGCTCCGAATGTCCGGCAAAAGAGGCAAGATGCAGGTGGTGCAAGAAAGTTTGACACTTCGAAGCCGTTTCCGAAAAAAAAGCCATGGGTTCTGTCGAGCTGCACACAGTTGCGGCAGGCGCCCGTACCAGAGCCAAGTTCGCAACCGTGGCCGTCAACGGACACAACGTGAACTTCAAAGTGGACTCTGGAGCGGAGGTGACCGTGGTGTCGAGTTCATTACCTGGAGTACCGAAAAAGCTTCGTGCACCAGAAGGTGAGCTCACGGGCCTCGGAAACCACCCCCTGAAAGTACTGGGCACGTTCCCCTCAGCGCTGCAATGGAGGGACAAGTCGACCGTGCAGGACATTTACGTCATGCCTTCACAACACCCTCCTCTTTTCGGCTTCCCAGCAATACAAGCGCTGGGAGTCATTCAGTTTGTCGACAATGTGGCGACATCAGCGGTGCTGCGGAGAGACAGGCTTTTCGACGGTCTGGGGGAGCTAAAGGAGCAATACGTCATCCGCCTTCGACCTGGTGCCAAGCCCTTCGCTCTAAGCGTGCCGAGGAGGGTCCCGATCCCGCTGCACGGCGTCGTTCGAGCTCAAGAAACTAGAGTCTGAAGGAGTCATCCGCAAGGTTGACCGCCCCACAGACAGGTGCGCGGGCATGGTCGTCGTTTCGAAGACAGGAGGAGGCTACCGCATCTGCGTAGACCTCACGCGCCTCAACCAAGTCGTACTGAGGGAGCGTCAACTTTTACCTTTGATTGAGAACATCCTCGGACGTCTCGGGCAAGCAAAGGTTTTCTCGAAGCTGTACGCCACTGCAAGCTTCCACCAAGTGAGGCTTTCTGAAGAAAGTCAGGAGCTGACGACGTTCACAACCCCGATGGGAAGGTTCTGTTTCTGCAGGCTGCCTTTTGGCATCTGTTCAGCGCCAGAGTACTTCGAGCGTCAAATGAGTCGCATTCTAGAGGGACTGAAAGGAGTTGTAAGCATGATCGACGACATTCTCGTCTTCGGCGCATCAAAGGGCGAGCACGATCGTCGACTCCAGCAAGTGCTTCAAAGGATCGACGAGGCAGGCGTCAAGCTAAACAAGAAGTGCAGCTTCGCTGCCTCAGAAGTCAAGTTTCTCGGCGTGTTGGTCAGCGCGAGAGGAATCAGCCCGGACCCCGAAAAGATCGAGGCCCTGCAGAAGTTGCCGATACCCTCGGACGTTAGCGGGGTACGAAGACTGCTAGGAATGGCGAACTACGGGGGCGCTTCATTCCACACCTCTCGAACGTCACGGCACCAATCAGAGAACTGCTGCAACAGCGCAACTCGTGGTACTGGGGACCAAGCCAGCAAGCTGCTTTTGAGAAGCTAAAGAGCATGCTTAGCTCTCATATCTGCTTGGCCAAGTACGACCCGTCCTCCCCAACAGTAGTTTCAGCTGATGCAAGCTCTTACGGACTCGGGGCCGTCATGCTTCAAGATCAGCCCTCCGGCGAGAGACGAGCAGTGGCCTATGTATCTAGGGCCCTCACAGCCACCGAAACACGCTACAGCCAGACCAAAAAAGAAGCCCTGGCCGTAACGTGGGCGGTCGAGCGCCTCGATCAGTATTTGAGAGGCATCGACTTCTAAGTCGAAACGGATCACCGCCCCCTCGTCACGCTCTTGGGATCTGCAGAGTTGGATCTGATGCCACCTCGAATTCAGCGACTACGCATCCGCCTCATGCGCTACCAGTTCACCGTTCTTTATGCCCCCGGCAAACTTTTAGCTACGGCGGACACCCTGTCAAGGGCCCCGGTGCAGGAACTGGATCAGCACTGCCAATGTCGGGTGGACTCCATAGAACTCTTCGTCGGCGAAGAGGTTTCAGCAGCCGCTGATTTCGTGTCATCCCGCCTGGAAGCCCTACGAAAGCACCAAGCAGAAGACGACATTTGCTCGGGCTTGCAACGCTTCTGTGAAAAGGGATGGCCAGAACATGTGTCCAGAGTTCCTGTTCATCTAAGAGAGTACTGGAAGGAACGTGGGATCATCACCGTGTGCAATGGCTTATTACTCGAAGACCGCCGCATCTTCATTCCGCGCTCGCTGAAACACGAGATACTGCAGCTGATACATGAAGGCCATCAGGGCATCGGATGCTGCAAGGCAACAGCAAGGGACGCAGTTTGGTGGCCTACTCTAAACAGCGGAATAGAGCAACTCGTGACAGCCTGCGAGCAGTGCACCCAGACAAGAGTACAGCGCTCTGAGCCACTCATCAGCACACCGACTCCCAGTCGTCCGTGGCAGAGAGTCGGAGCGGATCTGTTCGAGCTCGAGGGGAGACACTACGCGCTCGTCGTGGACTATTATTCCCGCTTCCCAGAGGTCATCAGCTTGACGTCGACGACTTCAATGTCCGTCATCGCAGCAGTCAAGAGCACATTCGCCCGGTTTGGGATCCCCAACGTGCTGGTATCAGACAATGGGCTGCAGTTCTCTTCGAGACAGTTCGCCGAGTTCGCCCAGAGCTACGGTTTCGAGCATGTCACGAGCAGCCCACGCTACCCACAGGCGAATGGGGAAGCGGAGCATATGGTGCGGACCATGAAAGAGTTGTTCTACAAGTCAAGGGACCCGCACATGGCCCTCCTGGTGTATCGAGACACCCCTGGAGTGACCGGTTACAGCCCGTCCCAACCGCTAATGGGCCGACGGTTGCAGACAAAGGTACCGAAGATGCCAGAGACGTTGCAGCCGGGGTGGCCATCATGACGGGACTTCAAAAGAAAAGACGGGGAGGCCCGAAGACGCCAGCGAAAGGACTTCAATCGCTGTCACGCCACTTGCGAACTTCGCCTGCTGTCCGTAGGAGAGGACGTGTGGGTACAAGACGTGCGGTGCCGAGCAACAGTCCTCAGTCCAGCGAAGCGGCCGTGCTCCTACGTAGTCGAGACTGGGACAGGAGTTCTGCAACGCAACCGCTGGCACCTGGTACCATTCGATGCGTCTCCGGCGGGTTTCGACGCTCCGGATCCCGGCGGTTCGACCAATGAGACTACGGCTACAGCTACAGCCAGTCCGGTGGTCTCTACAGCAAGAGCAAGTCTGGGTGCAGGGAGCCAACAACAGCCTACCGCAGTTGAACCTGCACCAACAGCAGCGCCGACGAACTTGAACTCCCCTTCAACATCAACGTCGACGGACAATACGCCGATAAGAGTGACTCGGTCGGGCCGCCAAGTTAGGCGACCCGTACGTTTGGACTTGTAAACCTTAGAAGGGGGGATGTAGTGATGACACGACAGTTCTCACTCGCGTGCCCCGCGGCAACGCGTCCATGCTAGTGCGCATGCTCGGGGTTATCTCTTCAGTTCGAGAGAAGTGATAATAAAACACTTAGGTTCCGGACTCCGGTGTGGCTGGTCGCTCCTTCCCCGCGAGACAACAACCTCCATAAAACAAATGGCCACCAGCCTATTACGTCTGAGGAGGGAGGAGTGTACCCGGAGGTCTTCTCCCAAAACGGCTGATCCGGGCTGCCACCAAGTCCTCCTTCGGTGGCCTGTCGAGGCTGTGGCTCAGGCAGGGCGGATCTGGTCGCTCCGCATCCAGCTCAAAGGCTTCCCTCAGGGACCCCATCTCCTCACAAACCGTCAGAGCTTGAGCAAGGAGTTTTGCGACATAGCCTGCAGAATCAATTTGAACACGAAATCATCTTGCCAACTGTAGTACTTCGATAGCAAATTAATGACATGCAGTGATCTGAGTTACAACGAAAAAAGGCAGCACCTGCTCTCCCCCTCTGTAATGCCTTTTGGCCCCTGAGGGCATGATCAATAAATAAATAAATGTTGGCACTTTGGTTAATTTTTGTTTTGAATACTCTTCACATTGGTAAACCATGAAATAGATATAAATACCTAGTATTTGTTAAATATTGCTCTCTAAAAAAAGGAGTTTGCGAGGCTAACATTTTTGGCCTCAACTGCACAGTTTTTTCTTCGAACAATAGGTAACTCACTTCGTATAGGTCCCGGGAACAACAAATAAGGCCTCGCCTCCCCCCCCCCCCCCCCCTCACAGAAATGGTAAAATGGAAAACGCAAGGAAAAAGAGAAACCCTGAAGCCAATACAGCACTCAGAATTCTAGTTGTCACAGAAGATACATGGTTATGTCTCAGTAAAATAAATTCACGATCACAAGGAATCTTTTGCTCTGCACATGCCACTTATTTTCATGATCTAGTTAAATTGATCAATTGTAGATAATCTTGCTGTGAATGTGTTGAAGTGGGTAGTGAGCAGCATGTAATAATTACAAAGTTCATATATTAATCACTTAGAAATTATTATAAAGATTATTTTCATAATGCTTGAACGCACTCAAAAGCACGACAAAGTGAAATTATTTCTAGGTTACCATATGTGGCTTGGGTCTTCTCTGGATGAGCAGTGTGGTGCCCTTTTCTGGCCTTGGGCGACTTGAGCTTCCACTTCATCTCGCCTGCTTGGGTGATGGCCTGCTCCCTGCTGCCATTCTCGTTGTAGTGCAGCGCTGCTACACGGGTCCTACAATAGAAGATGCAGTCGAACAGGTTGTGGTACTTCTCCCACAGGTGGTGTACATTTGGGCGTGCAGCTCGCCGTGTTTTCGAAGGTGGGAAACTCGCACCTACAGCATGCGTTTCTTACCTTCGATAACACATTGGTGACTCAAGAATTTTGAGCATGCAAGCATAAATAAAGCACAACAAAAGGCAAGCAGCATGTGCTCGAGCTTGTACATAAAAAGAAAACCATGAATTTGCAAGACCAAAACAAACAACATGTTGCCTTTGGAGTCGCGATCAACAGACAAGAAATTATAAAATGGTGACAGAGAAACCTGCGATGGATGGATGGTAGCGGCCATTGTAGCAGGTGCTAGCTTGCACCACCAAGCCTTGAACTTAAAAGTATGTTGCCATCGTTGAATGAGTTCTAGGCTTTTTTTTTCACTTTTAGTTTTCGGGTCCACTTGTTAGAGCACATAATTTAGAGTGCAATTTAAAAAAAAAAGTTAGAATCCTGGAATAGCAGTAGACAACGAAATATAATGTTGCACAGAGAAACCGTAGTAATCCTTATGAATCAACTAGCAACCAAAGAACTGAAAATGTTGTACATCCTATCTCCATATTTCATTTTTAAATGGTAAGTGATGTGCCGAAATGCACATCAGACACATAGGTAGCCCTTCCCCTTCCATATTTTGTCATGATGTAGCACCTAAAGATTTTTTCCTGAGTAATTTCTACATTTTCATACCTGGCAGGCATGCCTTTCGGGTGAAATGCGGCCCACTTGGGTGCGAAGCCATTGACGACCGAGTGGAAGGACTCCAAAGCATACGTCTGGCTGTCCGGGGACAGCTGGCGCAGGTCCTTCAGCAAGGACTTGGTTGTGACCACGTCGACAAATCTGACATGTGCAGGTGTATCTAGAAAAACAATAATACACAAAAAGGGCTTGCTGTAAAAAATGCACTTCATATTTTGTATGTTCCCCTCAAGAGCTAAAGAAATAATATTGTCCATTTTTTCTTGACGGCCGTCTCCTTTCACATTTATACGATGTAAAACCGTCAAAGATATGTGAAATGTCTATTCACCTGGAGTCAACCATTCGCCATCCTCGATCGGCTCGTGGAGAGACTTGGTGTAGACCCCAGGGTGGCCCACATGAACATTCACCACGTGCCTGGTGATGCTTGACCAGGCATCCATGCACAAAGAGGTCCCCGTCGCCCTGGCTTGCTGCAGCGCACCAGTACATATGGTTGATGGCTGGCTGAGTCCAGTCAGCAATTAAGCCACACTCTTGGCCCTTGCCTGCAGCATTTAGGCTCTTCTTGACACCTGCGATTGAAGAAGTGCACAGAGTCAGCCATAGTCTCTCTTGCTCTAACAGCTAGTCTACATGGAAATATTTAGCACCTCACAAAGTATAATCATGCCTTTTGTCAGTGATGCTTCCAATATTTTAATTGGAAATGGGAATTCTGTTCTAATTTGGGGCTTTCAGTACCAACTGCCCAGCATATGCGAGCACAGTAATGTGAGCAACGTAAGAGTACAGAGCAGTGGTGTAGCTAAGGGAAGGGCTTATAAACTTCCACCCCCCCCCCCCCCCCCCGCCCGCCAAAAAAAAAATGTGGATGCTTAGAAGAGTTTGAACTTGCAGGTGTGCAGAGCGCGTATGTCTTGGTTTATGCTACAAAAATTAAAGATCCATTAGTGGATCCTTAGGGAATGAGTTAGCATAACCCTTAGGAAACAGCACACACGACCCCCTTTGGGAAACGCTTACGCTAAACCGTTCACTTTTCTGTTTTGGCTTTCTCTGTTGCTGCTTCTATTTTTGGCTGCATCTCCTTGGCTTTGTTACGGGGTCAGTGTTAGCGTTTCCCAAAGGGGACGTGTGCAGCGTTTCCCAGGCGACATGGTAACGCATTCCTTAAGAATCCAACAATGGATCTTTTTTTTAAATTTTTGTAGAACAAACTAAGGCATGCGCACTCCACACACCTGCAAGTTCAGACTCACCCCACTATTTGCATGCTAATTGGCTTCCGCATTGTGATGTTGCCTCCCTCTCACCTTTATCCTTCAATACACTCCTCCATTTTACGTGCTGCGTTTCCCTTTTTACTGTTTTGTCCACATACGAACGCCGTCAGCTTTTTTTCTGTCGTGGGTACTGATGCTATTAATAAACAATTTCTGGCAGCGCCAGTGGTACACAGGGTAAAGCAGAATGATATAGCAGCCTACCATAGTTCTAGCTCTAGTTCGAACATATTGTGTTTAAAATGCAGGTTTAAAAAGCAAAAAAACAAGAAAATAATTAAGATAATGGATGTAAAATAGAAAAAATAGAGATTTCTGAAAATTTTAAAGCCATTTCTCTTTTTCATTTAGGAAGATCTACAGTGGAAAAGATGTCTATGTATCCACAAGACAAAATGTAAAAGCTTAGTGATACTAGACAAACAAACACAGCTCGCATATATGGCAGCTTCACCTTGTTAGAAAGCTTGCTCACATTGAACATTCCCACCCAATGACAAAGGGCTCTGTTTCCCAACAAGTAGGACATTGCTTGGGTCGCCAAAACCCCACTTTTGCCATGTTGACGAGCAGTGTAGGCTGTTTGTTTGCAAAGTTGAGCTGGTCCAGAGCAAATGACATTTACTTTTAGAGACATGCCAGACATCGAAGAAGTGGAGTATGTCCGGCTCCTTCTCCCTCAGGTGCTTCGCAATGGTGCGGTGCCTGTCGGTGGTTAGGGACCGCACCGTGAGCCCTTCGTCCCTTGTGAAGGCCAGGGAGCGCAGGAGGCCTTCCTTCTCCACCTGCCCACTGCAGCGGACCGCCTCACACTGCATAATCACCATAAAAAGGAGCAAATCCTTCTCAGTTGCTGCAATGATTATTATGTCTACTGTATATACATGTATTCTGCAGCCTTAAAAGTTCTGCACTATTTTCTCTTTAGATATAAGAGGTGCGAACACCTAGCTTCGGACAGAAATTTTGTTTCAGAGGTCTGTTTAACTCCGTAGTAATACATGCTAGATAAAGATGCAAAAATAAATTGAAAGACAGGAAAGGTATGCAGCAGACAGTGGGATGGCCACGGTATCAAACATGATATTTGATTTTTTTCTGAAAAATTTGAATTAAAAGGATAGCTAGCAGCGAGCAATTTTTAGAATCGCTGCAATTAACAAAAAGCAAGGAAGCTCTGCCTTCTGCCACAGAGGCATTGAGTCACTATCATTAGTTATAATTGAAGGCTTCACTGTGTATCAGGGCGTACTATTCTTCATCCCAGATTTACGGGTCCCAAACAAAAACTACTGTAAGGAGGTGGCTTTATCTATTGCTCACCTCTCCAACCTGCACCTGCTCAAAGTGCAGGATTTTGTTTACACGTGGAACATACAGGGAGTATGTGAGGTACTTGGCGCTGAAGCCTGGAGAATCGCATCTCCCATCTCCAGCGAGGTCAAGCGGCTGGTCGCTGAGCTCGTCCAGCAGCAGCTTCTGCTCATCTCTCCACACCTGTAAAAAGCAATACTGAAATGTTGGAAACTGCCGTATAGCTTCTACTTGTTAAACACTGCGTTTGAACATGAAAATATGTAATATAAAAAAACAAGTGTCATCATAATAACCTCTTCAACAGCTGGAACTAAAATGGCCCGCTGGAAGTTGAAGTAAGTCTTCACGGAGAAAACTAGGATGTTCATCATCCGGAACAGGCGCAGCGTTTTGGTGGGAGAGGCACCCGTAAACAGGACCATGGACGTTAGGAGCAAGTTTCCAGCCCCCCTGCCGTTGATGTAGGGCTGGCTGTCCCAGCGGTTCGTGTGACCAGCAGGGCAGGAGGTGTACACAGAGATCAGTGCACCATTGGACTTGATGGATGCCTTGCAGGGGCTGTAGCAAGACTTGCATACTTCAAAGAGTTGCAGGAGGTAGCTCTCGAACACCACGAACTTTCGCTCCATATACCCTGGCTCCGCACCCGTGGTGGTGTTTTTCCTGTAAAAGTTACAAATGTGTACCGTTCAGAACTCATTACTGTGCTCAGCTTATCAAAGAATAGGGCATTATGTCATTATATTTGGGCTGGAGATTTTAGGGTGTTCATTTGTAAGAAATATTTGCAGCCTTTTTTCATTTTTTATTCTTTTCCCCCATAAAACATGCATATTTTGCCCATTTATTTCGGGTGGACGCATCCAACCGTGATGATCACTGAAAAGTAATTGCGAATGAATGCACAAACCTCATAAAGACTAAGATCTGAAATTTATTTACAATTTATAGACTTCCTTATAAATCATGACGCTTCATGCTCACCATAATGTAAATTGCTTGCAAACAACGGGCAATGAATCTGCACTTTGTGAAAGTTTGAATATTCTTTAACGTAATCACTCGGAGCTTTTCTTATTTTCTTCTTACCCTACTACCCTCCTGCTCGGTGCGCCGACAAAAATTAAAGAGTACTCAATTTTTCCTCGTCACAATTCATTTGATTGCAACCACCAGTACTTTCCAACATAATTCAAAGATTCAAGACTGCTGAAACGCAGGAAAAAGCCGTAGCCAGCTAAGCATGAATGTGCTTTTGTGGTATGAGATGTTTGGTAAAATTGGACTTGTATCTACAGAGAACAAATTTCTCAAAATTTAATGGAGTTTTGATGTCTTGTACCAAAACAGCTTCATATAAATAGGTCACATCATAGTTACCAAGGCTATGCTGATTTGATTTGTTGCACAGATCCCAGGCCCTAAATGTTCCAATGAACCTAACCTGTTTCATACAGGGAGAAAACCATTCTTACTCGACAACGCTCTCTCTGACAAACGGCTCAAATGTGGGATCCTCGTCCTCGTTGTCATCCTCGTCCTCGTTGTCATCCTCGTCCTCGTCCTCGTCGTCCGACTCGCTTGGTGCTGGGCTCAATGCTGGCCCCATGGACGCTGGGTCAGCAGGTGCCAGAACTGGCCTTTGTAGTGGAACAGGAAAGTTGGTGCTTGAGGAGCTTCTTACGGTGTCGCTGCTGCCACCAGCTAGCTGCAAGTCCTCAGTCTGTACAGAGTGGCTTGTCAGCGCTCTTGCATAGAAGTTGTCCTGCGTGCCTGAAATGGATCAAGAACAGAGGTTTAAAGGGGCATGTGCAACCGCCCCCCCCCCCCTCCCCCTCCCTCCAAGCTTGACCCATAAATCCGCCACTAATTCGACATATCAAACTAGCCACGCATAGGCTTTATTTTTTTTTTCACGTGACACCAATCACAAGCAGGCGAATACAGGCTATACTTAGAATGCAATTAATTGCAAAGGTGCAAGCGAGCTGGACAAGAAAGATGAAAATAATCCCTGGAGAAGGGGAACAAGGGGGACAGAGGACAACACAAATCTCCAAACACAGCTAGGTGACTGGTGCGAGGCTGCTATTTCATGCCTACCGACAGACTGCTTCCCCAGCCAAGGGTCCGTTCCCAGAGAAGCGCCTTTCACGGTAGGCGGCCTCGGAGTCTGTGCAGGCGCCTCTTTCTGCTCTGGAACGGCCTGAACCGCCGCGTCGCGGGTGGCCATTTGGGGACCGCAGTGGCAGCAGTACTCGCGAGGCTCGCAAGCTGCCTCGCTCTCGACGCAGTTCGTCTCTTCACTCGGCTTGTCACCCTGGAAAACCGAATATCCTCATAAAACTTCTGCTGAAAAAGTGCATGAACGCGTACCATTCACTGAAGTAGGAACGACACTTACCATAGTTCTTCGGCGTTTCAGCGTTGGGCCTTTCGCTGCGAGGAGAAGAGGCTTTGCGGAGGGGGGCAGGCGAAGAGAAGGAACGACACCGGGCTTCAAGTGTCGTTTCTTAGTAGTCTGCCCAGCATCACGAAGGATGCTAGCGATGCAGTGGTAGTCCCGTTCGCCATCGAAATGCTGGGAACACACTCGAAGATCAGACGTTCCTGGGTCCTCCCTTCCGATTCTCTGGCACCACGCACCCCTGAGGGGTTCCTCGCGCGGTAGTCGATGGTACAGGAGATTTGGAGTTCGGACGAACAGGGGACTCCGGTTCGGGCACAACGAAACACCGCACCCGGTAGGCATCGCCCGTGATCGCGGCGGGCGATACAACCGTTCGTTGAGAAACGCGCGGAAACGAAAGTTCGCAGTTTGCTCTTCGACAAAACCAAACAAACCCGGGGAACGACTCGGAGGGTGGCCGGACCACGAGGGCCGGACGGCTGCGCAGGTGGGATGGTTTCGTTGGCTTTCGGTAGATGGCGCCACGACAATTTATAAATTTTATGGATAAAACTAGACTTTTTACGCATTAATTTACGCTCAAACGACAAGATTTTTAAAAAGAAAACTTAAATTGAGAACAAAATTGCACAAATCGCTAACTTTACAAACAACATCCTCCACAGTACGTCACAGAGCGGTTCCTGTAATCGCCACAGGTGGCTGTAGGTCGGGCAAATAATTAGTTTTTTTCTTGTCGATTACGCATTGGAATCCCGTTATTACGGGTCAAGGATGCATGTTTTCGTTTACCTGTGGAACGATAAGCAATATAAAAAATACAAACGGTAAATTCTTTCAACCTTAAAATTGTTGCACAGCCCCTTTAAAATTTTATTTTTTAGCGGTGTCCTGTGTCAGTATGATAGATATCCAACTCCGTCAAAGTCTCACACCTGTCCCCCAGTGGGTGTAGCTGAAGGAAGAACGCCGACGATGTACACCAGAGGAAAATTGGCCACTCCCTCGCCCGGGAGAGGAGAAGGGGGCGGTGTTCATCTTTCTCACTTTTTTTTGTACGATCCCCCAAAGGTCTTCTTGGAAAGTACTCTACCTGCCCGGTGATAGTTGAAGGGGGATAAGGGGGGGGGGGGGGGGGGAGAATTTTTGAGCATGGGAGAGATTGAAAAAAGAAAAAAAATTTTTTTTTTTATTTTTTTTTAGGTTAGGTGGCGCAAGCTACCGCTTAGCAAAGAAGAGCGTAATAAAATATTCTCAATATACTTCTAGTATACTACGTATAAGGCAGGAAGTGTAATAGCATATTCCAAAAATTATATGGCACATGGGAGCCGTTCCATGATCCAAACATACTTGCCAAGTATGTTTAGATAATATAACTAGTAGCCTACTCCAAGTACGCTCTAAGCAACCATAGACACTTCAAGTATAATTTAGGCGCACCATTAGTATTATTTAGGATTATAGAAGTAGAGCACCCCCGATAAACACGGAAGCGTCTTCAACGCACCTTCAAAGCGTGCGGCATATATACACTCTTAATCTGGTTCCACTACGGTTCCAGTTAAGTTCCGTATAAAGCTGGCGTTCCACTAATTTTGACTAAGTCCCATGGCAAATTTTAGCGTATCAAACAATTTTAAGTGGACCCTTGTTTTTTCTTTCTGTAATAGATTATTTTTAGATGAACCACGTGCATTTAGAGCAGGCTGATCACCTGTGCCGCCTAAATTTGTTCCAGTGACTAAAAACTTGTTCCACTAAAACTCTTTGCAGTCTTTCTTAAAAAAAAATAATTTGCAACTTTGTTTCACTTTTGTGGTGAGTTGCGGAGAAACGCACCAGAAAGGAAGGAAGCGTTCGTTTTTCCAAAATTTACCACTTTGTTAAGACTCATGTACGAGTCTCTCCTCTAACTAAAGCAGTAATCTTGAGCTTTCCACTTTAAGTGCAAAATGTTTCTATTGAAAATTGCATAAGTTTTATGTCGCCTACTATGCGGGCGCAAATTGTTGTCACAACACATTTAAAAACAAAAAATAAAAGAAGCATATAATATTTTATTTGGTTCTAGCAGAATTTGAACTGTACATACTGTAATTGAACGGATCGTACTGGCAATCAAGCTGCTGAAATGGAAACAATCAAGACGTCGCACTTCTCGAGGCACGTTCGAAGCGCGATATTTAGAAGAGCAACAGATGTTCGCCCTATTTGCGGAAGTGGCCGATTGGCATTTGTCTCAAATACCAACGGCCAAAAGTACAGCTCAATCAATCAATAAACTAGTGTTTACTGCAGAGTTAAGGAATAACCACTGGACTTCGCGCTGGCATATTTCAATAATAATAATAATAATAATAATAATTGTTGCTGGCGTAGTTCAATAAGAAGCAAAAACACAGATGCTTGCGTGCGCGCAGACACAAGCGTACACGAGCACACGCACGCATGCACACGCGCAAACGCACGCACGCACGCACACAAAACACAGAAGCACGTACACACAAGCACGCAGACGCATCCACATGCGCACACGAACCCGGGCGCATGCACGCATACACACAATCGGAAATTAGTACGACGAACGAAACGTTGGTTGAGATAGTTTCGGTTTCGGTTTTGACACTCCAAAAAAAAAAAAAAAACTGAAGTTTAGATAAAATGTAAGATAGACTAAATCCTTGTTAATTTTTATAACATTATTATAGTGACATTATTATTAGTAATATAATAATATTTTGCTTGGTTTCGTTAAAAAAAAGAATCCTTTGAAGATTACGGAAGACCATCGCTATCGCAATCAGCTTGCGCTTGGCCCTTTGCAACGTTACTAAAACACTCAGTTGGGAAACTTCCATAGAGACAGCTTTGAAAGAGTGGCCCCAATCCGTCTCCGAGCACCGAGCTAATGACGAACACAACGCCACCATTTCTCCCGCAGCGGCCACTCGAGGAACTGCACGTGACTTCTAATTTGGCTTTAAGAACAGATACAGCGGAAGAGGTTACAGGGGTGCCACCCCCGTCTCCCCGGCGGACACGCCGCGTCGAACTATCGAAGTTAAAATGCACCTAGGTCGGGACGCGCTACCTGAAAGCCGCGCTGAGGCATGGTTGTATAAAAACAATATTAATTGTGCCGCAAAACCCTGCAAAAACTAAAGATTTTAAAAACATAACGCGCCCCTCTTTTTGCACTAAACTCCAATAAATTTCATACAAAAAGAGTCTTTTCCGTTTGTTTTTACGTAAAAACAGGCTTTCACAAAGCTCGAGGTCGCCACAGTACAGACAAATGATAAAGAGTGGCGCTGTTGTCGCATTTAGCTCGGTCTCGGTGTACGCCAGCGGCCCAGGTTTCGACGGCGAGTTTCCCAACTGAGTGTTTTAGTACCATCGGTCGTTTGGCATAGAGCACTATATAGCTCCTTCGGAGCAGAGTAGCGCAATCTAGAACGTCCTCTTTCGGTGACTTGCGGCGAACGCCCCGGGGTTCCAACTCGGATCAGAAATCCATGGGGAACGTGAGAAAATCGCTGTTTCTTCAATATTGTGGGGATGTACAGGACGTCAATAGTTTTTGATATAATAAAGAAACATGTTAGAATAATTTGCGCTAAGTTGCATGCCATGTAAAGGCGTATTTTTTTTTTAATTGCCTGAGCGGCATTACGCAGCAGGCGACGCGGCAACGTCACGGAGACGTCGCACCGTCCACGTGACCCGCTCCGGCCAACCCAGGAAGTCCATCTCCGCTGGGTACAAAAATCGTCTGCTTCAAACGCCATTGGTTTGGAAATTGCCTTCTCAAAATTTTAACACGCATCCGATATTATGAAAGCTTTGATAAAGTGTTTAGTGCTTTACCAACTTCAGGACAGACTAGTTTCGAAAAGTGCGAACTTGGCGTTTATTTTTTAATCAGCCGTGTTGAGTCGATCTTCATGTATTCCCCCATAGGGCGGGCCGCCTCCTGGAGCCCTGAGGACCACGTGACTCGCGCCGCGCTGCTCTGTCGGCCATGTTGTCGGCGAAACACGCGGATCAAAGGGTTGCGCCACTCTGCTCCGTAGGAGCTATATAGTGCTCTAATTTGGCAGTCGTTGGGGTTCCAGAGGTTTCGAAAATCGCTTCCTTTATTACGTTTAAGCCGTTTTAGCAGGTATTTTAGATATCTTCCTTACGATTACCATGTTCAAGAATGTCTAGCGATGACATGGACCTGGGAGACGCTGCATCTTACCAACGCCCGTAAGTGTCGGACGCTGCTGCAAACGCCGTTGAGTACCTTTCATTTGTTTCTGCGAAGTGCGCCGCTGTTTCAAACTTTGTCGTGCGCCATGTGCTTGTTGAGCTATGCTTGATTCTAACAATGCTTCTGGCCGATGTTATTTCGTTAATTGAAAAGAGCGTACTTTCAAAACCCATGGCTCGCTCCGCAGAGCGAGACAGATTCGCGTGCGGCGGAACTGAGCCTGTTCTTGGCGCTGTCCCACGACGTTCGTCCGACGACGCTTTTGCGAAGCGTTCAGGTGCAGTCTGACGGTAGTTTAAGCAATCACAGGTCATGTTAGTTGCGACGGGTGGTCCCAACAGCCGCCCGCCACCGATTCGTTTCGTTAAGCAGGAGCGAGAAAAACGTTACAAGGCGAGCAGCATGATTTCTTACCAATGCTTACGCCTGTGCCGTAGAGACGCGCGGTCTCTTCGCGTATGCCGAAGCGACACGCTTTCGAAGTTTACGATTGTGTGATATAAATAAAACGAGTTTGGATGTCACCTTTTTTAGTGGCGGCGAAAGCCGCTACAAAAAGCAGAGTACGCAGAAAAGGCAAAAACATAAGAAAATGCGAAAAGAACCTGAATATTCGATCGAGTTGAAATACTACCAAAGTACCGACTGGCCCAGTTATTCTCTCTGTTGAAGAATAATAGCCAACAGTAATAAATTAAATAAATGCCAGCTTTCAATTGGTTACAAATTCGCAAAGCTCTATTGCATTTATGATATCGGGCAATGTGTAAATGTATAGGATAGTTCATACCAACAATTTATGTCCCACCCATTATATTGTACATTTTCTTAAGTGCTCGAAGTTGTATAAAATTTGCTCATCATAAATTAAGCCCCACCACTGAATGTACAAGAGCGTGTGACTTTTATGTATGTTCTCAGCAAACCAAAAAGATGCATTCAAAAAGGGCCAATTATTGCGTTTCCTCTCTGTTAGAGCTTCCTTCAGGTATACGCAAAACGTGGGTGTCTGCGTCTAAAAGAGCGGAATTGACATTTCCTGCAGGGCTTGCAGGCCTGACTCAGTTTGGCTGGCAGCGTGCAA